GATCGTCTTCCAGCTCCTGTATTCTTTGTTTTCAGGTTCTTGTTTTACCCTATGCATGCCTGTTTCTTTACTCTTAGCACATTGTTCTGTAATGCTGTGTCCAGATATTTGCCTCCTCCACAAGTCTGATATTTGTCTCCTTGAAGAAAAGGACAATGTTTATCCTTTTCTATCTCACATTTTTAGCACAATTAGTACATAGAAGATACTGAGTGAATTTTTATCAAATGAATTTATTTATTTTGCATAGCAATGTGTGTATGTATGAGTGTGTGTGTGTGTGTGTGTGTGTATCTATCTTAATTTATAATTTAAGTTATCCACAAGTAGGTCTTGCTTGCAGTAATCATGCTCATGTTCCTTAGAACCAGTGTTTCCTTAAATACCTGAGTTTTGGATTATGCTACCCAATTCTCCAAGCACAGCTCTTCTAATTAATTTGTTCCATCTCAACAGAGGTAGCCACAAAATTACAGTTAAGATAGAGCCTAATTATGGCCAAGGTTTTTCTGAATTTGTATTTGTAGACCAAGTCCCCAGTACCAGAAATGTCCCTCAAAATGGTGACTACAGAACTAGGTGCATCTCATCTGCATTAGGTAGGCAGGTGTCTCGCATGGGGAGTCAGGAGCAGTCTTATCCCAAGCTTAGTAAGGGAGGCAGATGTATATGAGACAGGGACTCCAGAGCCATGCTGGGCAGAGGGATAGGCATGCAAACTAAAGTGAGAGAAAGAATTGGGAAATCTCAGCAAGTTAGACTGGATGAGGAGGTCGGAATGGAGCCAGGAAGCAGAGGCAGATAGGGTGTGGTTGGAGAGTAGAGAAATTGCAAAGAAGCAGAGGAGGTGGGTGAGATTACAAACAGAATTACTTTTTAAAGGGAAGTGTGAAACTAAGATATGCTTGTGTCAAAGACAAGCATTTCATTCACCCATTCATTCATTCATTCAACTTATCTATATTTTTTTACCTTGTAACAGCTACTATACAAATGGCTGGGGATACTGATACAAATAAGTTGGAATCTCTGCTCTTAAGTGCATAAACTATTAACTAAACTCTACAGACATATTAGCAGACAATTACAATACAGTGCAATAAATGGCATAACAAGATAAGCATAGGTAGTCTGTGTGAGCCTCTGGGGAACACACAATCAAGTCTAAGGTGAGACAGAAGGGGTAAGTTGCAGTTAGCAACATGAGGAAGGTATGATGGGGTGACAAGGTAGGAAGCAGGAAGAACAATCTTGCTAAAGCTCTAGGAATGACTGAATATTCAAAAGACCAAAGGGGGAGCTTCTTTACAGATTGAAAATACCTTGTTATAGTTGGGTCTCACATGCCATGTTAGGCTTTTTCCTGGGAATAATGAATCAACCGAGTATTTTAATTGGGGAGTGACACAATCAGATTTGTGTTTTAAAAATACTAGTACAGAGTGTGGAGAACAGGATGGAAGAAGTGACAACCAGGGAGCCACTGAAGTGACTGCAGCATCTAAGTGGGAGATGATATTGGGTAAACTAAGGCTGGGGCAATGAAAACAGAAGCAGGTAATTCTTGAAAGTTAGAATAGACAAAGCTCAGTGGTTGACTGGATGCGAGATGTAATCAATCAAGGATGGCCAAATTTCTGGCTTGGGCAACTATGTAGTGGTTCACTCCAAAGGCACATCAGCAAGAGAGGAGGGTGTCAATTTTAGGAGAATTTTGGTCATGGGAGAGCCAGAGAGCTAAACATCTCTAAGTCTAAAGGGCCATTCTTCTGGACAGTCCCATACCACCTTATCAGAGTTAGCTGAGTCTCTTTGGGGAGCTTAAGGAGATATAATACCTGGCCAGAGTATTCACCCTGTCATTATCATTTATTCATCCATCCATTCAATCAATCAATATTTATTGAATCCCAATTTTAGATTTATCCCAATTTAGTATCCCATGGACTCTAGTGTCTATGCAGGTAGCTATTTCTTAAAAAAGCGATTCTCAAAGTCAAGAGTTTCAACTGTAAGTTTTTCCTATTCAACCCACTCAACTCAACTTGTGCATGTTGTTTGAGCCTTCCTATGCTGATCTAGAGAAAAGTATTTCCTCACTTCTTGTTTCCATGGTTGCAGTAACTTTTTTTTTTCATTAAGTTCCCATGACTGCTTTAAATTTTAGTTTCTTATTCCTGGACTTAAGTTTTTGATAGAATTTTTACTGGGATAGAAGTTTAATATTTTAGTGAAAACCTTGAATAAGTTGTTTTATACAGTCAGAGACTTGGAAATTATTTTCTAGGATTGTGACTTTCATGAGCAACTTTGACTCCAGGGATCCTGTTGGAGTTTCAGTAACAGATGTGATTGATCAAAGTCTTCCTTGCAATACTTGTATCTGATGAAATTTCATTTCACATTTGATGCTTGGCTTTCCCACGCTGAGGCGTGAAATTTGAGAAGCAGAGAAATCAGCAGGGTTTGCAGGTTGCAGTTAATAAAACACTCAACGTCAACCTATCTAGTTCAGATTAATAAAATGAAATGCATATATGTGAAGTCTAACCTCACACATCCAGATGATATCATCTTGCAAATTTGATTCCTGGTGATGTCTAGGCTATTGGGTAAAGAGGGATGAGGAGTCTACTTTGAAAACCACTTTCTGATTAATCAGTAATGCCTATTTTTGTCAAACAAATCTCTTAAGATCTCCAACACTCTTCTGAAAGATCTTGCAAGGATTAATGAAGTGATTTTTTAAATTAATGAAGTTATTTTGAATTACCAGTCTGTAGTAAATAAATGTTGTTTTTAAAGAATGGACTATTATTAATAATGTTATTTCCTATCTTATCTTTTTTTGTGTGGGAGGTACCCAGGATTGAACTAAGGGGCACTCAACCACTGAGCCCCATCCCAAGCCTTATTCTGTATTTTATTTGGAGACAGGATCTCCCTGAGTTGCTTAGCACCTTACTGTTGCTGAGGCTGGCTTTGAACTTGCAATCCTTCTGTCTTAGCCTCCTGAGTCACTGTGATTACAGGTGTGTGCCACTGTGCCCAGAGTTTATTTCCTAATGAAGATAAAAATGTTGGATATTTATTTTAGTTGATTAAATAATACAAGTGTGATCATGGTTCAGACATGTTTTAAATTTTGCACGGAGAACATCTCTTGTTCAACAGAGCCCCATTTAGCCACCTCTCATGGGCTGAGGCTATTGCCTCAGTTGGCTAATGGATAAATAATGCAGCTTCCTCAGTACTCTGATGCAGTATATAAGTTGACTTTGCATGTAAAAGCATAATATTATAGCCTGCAAGTCTTGGAAGTCTGAAACAGGTCTTTGACAACATCTATTCTTTTTTTTTTATTGGTTGTTCACAACATTACAGAGCTCTTGACATATCATATTTCATACATTAGATTGAAGTGGGTTATGAACTCCCAATTTTACCCCAAATGCAGAATCACGTCGGTTACACATCCACAATTTTACATAATGCCCAATTAGTAATTGTTGTATTCTGCTACCTTTCCTATCCCCTACTATCCCCCCTCCCCTCCCCTCCCATCTTCTCTCTCTACCCCATCTACTGTAATTCACATCTATTCTTAATACTTTCATTTAAAGTTGAAGAAGTTCAGTCTAGAAAAAGTAAACAATTTCCCAAAAGTCATCCAGTTAGTGCCAAAGTCAGAACTCACAGCTGGATTTATTTTTAAATCCAATGTTCTTACTGTTGCTTTGTGCTATATTCACTCCAGAAAGTCTAGAATTCCCTTCTAAAACTTTTGGGTAGTTGGCTTGAACAAAAATTCCTAGTAAGCTAGTGCCCAATAAAGTACACTATAATCTTTAGTACCTCCTTGTATTTTATTAGAGATTTTTGTTTGTGGCAACTCCCCTGAGCACCACACTTCCCTAGGCAGACATCCAAAAAGCAACAAGTCAGTCTTCCACGTCTGCTGTCTGGCAGGCAGCGCAAGAACCTGCAAGGCAACTTTGAACAGCATTCTAGGGGCCAAATCAAGCCAGCTGGTCTGATTACAGCACTTGATAATCAGTGCCCATCCTAATTAGGCTGGCAGGATTTCTGCCATGGTGGATGGTCCACTTGCTGCATGCACAGATGTGGTGACTCATCCATGTTCAATTATTCAACCACTTTCATTTGAAGACCTGCTACATGCAGAGTGTTATTAAAACCTATTTGTAATATGAGCAAAAGTTTGGGCATGAGTTGTCATGCACTGAGATACTGTTTGTAAGTAGAGATACCACAGGAAGGTCTTCTCAGAGGTGGCCAGTGAAGTGGGATGACCTGTTTGTGAATGAAAATTAAGAGCCCTTGTGACATGTGCCTTTCTATCATGATTTTCAAGAGGAGGTAGAAAATTGGTTTCCATGGGGCCTCTTGGCTCTGAGAGTTTTTTTTTTTTTAAATCATATTACATACTTTTCCCAAATTACAAAATCAGCGTATGTTCATTGTGGAAATTGCAGAAAATTACAAAAAAAATTAAAAGTAGCCATCATTCCAATACAATGATAACAACTTTTTAGTTGAATTTTTTTGGTCTATTTTCTTTGACATACATATATAAGAATATATCTTTTTTTTCTCTTTTCATTTTTTTCCTTCTCCTTTCTTCCTGCTGAAATTGAGATCTGACTGTGCCTCCTGAAATTCTAGAAGTCTATACAACATAGAGAACTAAAGAGGAACTTCTTTGCCTAAAGCCTAGCACGTGCCAGTTGTTCCACTGTTTGTTACTCGAATACACAAAGAAACTTGGTTTGTGGACTTGAGCAACCTCAAACTCAGGCCATGCCCAAATCTTAACAATAAGCTTTTCATGCCAAAGAAACATGATAAATTAGAAACTGACTAATTTCCTTCATGAAATTTTCCCATCTCCAAGAGAACTTCAATACTAATTCACACCTCCTTTTTTTTTTTGTGTGCTCTTTATGTATTGTAGGAACTTCTGTTTGTTCTGAGAGCTGCACATACAAGGAGCTTGCTAGAAGCATGGACCTCAGTGAAAAGTGGGCTTTGGAGGAAGGAAACTGGTTGTCGCCTGGTGGAATTCATCATTTTCCCAGCACAAGAGCAGGTATGGTCGCTTTTGATGTCCCTGACATGCGTGGTACTCTTCAACTCCTGCATCTCCCTATGTGAGCCCAGCTGTTCTTGGTACATGCCCAGTGCTGTTGCCTTTTCAAAAACAGCTGGGTGTAGAGCAGAGGGCATGCACTCTGAAGTCAGACAAACCTCGGTTCAGTCCTAAACTTACTCCTTACAAGCTATGGGATTTTGAGAAAATACTTGGGCTGTAGCATAAGAGTAAGAATGCCTGCTACACAGAACTCTAATAAGAATCACTAATGTAGGCTGTCATTTACCAAGCTTTGGCCCTTGCTAGGTGGGTGCTGGGGTATGTGTCAGGCATTATGCTACTGTATCGCTTGCTTCCTAACAACCCTAGAAGCATTCAAATGAAGGCCAAAGCAACACCTACAAACAGAGGAGGTCAGCTCACCTCCCCTTTTTCTTTGTCCAGTTATATGATTATTGTGATTTAGCCTTAAATGATGAGATGTTGTAACTCTCCTGGAGTGGAGTATAGAAATTAAGAACCTGAACCCTGAAACAGAACTCTAAGACTCAACTCAATACTTTCCCATCTCCCAAATCTGAAAGAGATTGACTTTGGTGGTAAGAGGCTATGGATGGAGAGATCAGAGGTTACTGAACTGAATGCACTCACAAGATGCTTTTAGTGAGAGCTTGGCTCCTGTTTGTGTTCATTCATTCATTTGAGAATACTGTTTATCATATATTATACACCAAGCAATGGGAATACAAGAGAGAAAGCAACATGGACATAGAGATCACTGGACAACATTCTCTGATGTGCCCCATCTCTAAAATGGGACAATTTACATAGCAACATTCACAGAGCTTTTGCACTGTACCAGGATACATCTTCCAAACAACATTATGGCAAACTGGAGGAGAGTTTCCAAAGGGAAAGTCAGATGCAGGAATTTGGATGCAGTCCACAGCTATTTTCTCCTGTGCCCCAACATGTTGTCACTCTATCCACTTTTTAAAAGCTTGTTAAGCCAGTCTGTCTGCACAGACTGTGGAATTAAAGTGAATCTCCTTAGCTCAATATACAGCCCTTTCTGATGAGACCTAGGCCAGCTTCTCCAGACTCATCTCCTGCTGCTCACCACTAGGAATACTCCACTTCTCTCTTAGTAGATCTATTCCCTCAGGAGCCTTGTGTATGTCCTGCTTTCACATCCACGTGAGCCTCTGCAAAAGCTATTTCCAACTGCCTTCCACTTGGATGGTCCCTTCTCATCTTTGAAGCTTCAGCTTGAGTCAGCTGAGCTGGGATTTCTTCTTGTACTTCAACCTATCTGCCCCCATTCTATTCTCTTTGGTGCTGCCACAGCACTTTCCACACTATATCATGGTTGTCTGTATCCTGAATAGCTTCCTGAGGCAGATGTTTAATTCGTCTTTGCATCACTGCAACCTGGCAAAGAGCTGACGGCCAGCTGGTGGCTGGATGAATGAATGAATGAATGTATGATGGATAGGACCACATCCTCTGCATATCTCTGCCTTTATTGAGAGGCTTTTGGGGCTGTGGCAGCCCACTTGGCTGCACAACTGCTTCTGGGCACCACTGCATTGCTTCAGCACACCCATAGCATTTCACTCAGTGCCTCCAGGTCTATTTACCAAAGCTTGAAAGCAGAGGAAAGAAATAGGTGAGGTTTGCCCACTGGTGTTTTTGTTACCCAGGCAATAGAATCAACCATCCTAGAATTTTAGACCTGAAGGGAACCTCTGGGATCACTGTAACAAAGGGTTGACAGTGCTTATTGTGACTAGCTCCACACACTACCGTATCCCTCTGGGTTTACCATGTCAGATATCTACATTCTTTGGAAAAAGATTGGACAATAGGAAGGGGAAACAGACCTGTGTTGAGGTCTGCCTACAGGGGAGGCACAGCTGTGGGGTAAGTGATGAGCCTCTGAGGCAGCAAATCCTATGAAATCTGGTTCCAGTTCAGATAATATGTCTGCAATGATGGAGGCACCCAAGACAAAGTCTGGCCATGTTTAGATATTAGATATTAGGGTACAGCACAATGACAAGGGATGGATGTGGTGAAATCTGAAAACGCTTGTGGGCTGCCATTAGGGTGGTTCCGAGGCCTGGGCTGGGATTCAGGAAAGATGTTAAGTCTTAAAGGGACTGAGTAGGGAGGCAAAAATGGGAATCTGGTGAAGTCTGGAAGTGGGATGAGGAAACTCATGCAGAAACAAAGAGTGCTCACCCCACGGTGCCAGAGCTAAGTCAGATTGGAGAAATCAAAAAGAATTTTCTTTTCTTTCTTTTTTGTGGAGAGTACGGGGGATTGAACCCAAGAGTACTTCATCACTGAGCAACATCCCCAGCTCTTTTAAAATATTTTATTCAGTGACAGGGTCTTGCTAAATTGCTGAGGGCCTCACTAAGTTGCTGAGGCTAGCTTTGAATTTGTGATCCTCTTGCATCAGCCTCCAGAGCTACTGGGATTACACGTGTGCACCATCACACCAGGCTCAAAAAGATTTTAAATCATTTACTAAGTATATACTATTATATACAATTCTCAGACACTACACTAAACCTCTTTTTGTATAGATATAGACTATCTCAAGCCTTCTCACAACTGTATTCTCATTTTATAAATGAAGAAACTGGGCCTGAAAAGATTAAGGAACTTGTCCAAGGTCATTTGGCTTACAAATGACTAAACTGGGATTTGAACCTAGATCTGTCCCATGCCAGCCCCATAAGCTATTGCTCCTCAATCTACTCTCCAACACTCCCTACTCTGTCTTCATAATTTAAGGCTCTGGTGAACCAGTTACAAACCTTTATTATTGGTGGTTTAATTGCCACAGTAGAAAAGAGAACTAGCTCTGAAGAGGGCCAAAAAATCAACAGAGCTGTTGTAACATGTGGATCTTATCCAAGCTTACAGCTGCCTCATCTAATGCACTGCAAGGTCTCTACCCACCTGTTTCCAAGTATCTTTTCTCAGCACCATGTTTCTCTACCCCATCTCTCCCCACCACTGACTGGTACTAGCTGTTCCATCTCTTAGGCCCAATGGGGGCGAATGGGGTTTGAATTTCTAATGAAGTACTGGGAAAGTCCTAGAAGTGTCCAGGTCTTGGGGTCTGGTTCTTGGCTTCATGAAATCCTGTGAGAATTGTGTTAACTGCAGGGAAGTGCAGTCATCCTGGTGAGTCATAGACCTTGAGGCAGATCCACACAACATCTGTCCTTGTGTTATCCTTGGAGCATCTCCGGCTGCCATTAGGGTGGGACTACCTTCAGGAAGCTGGCTGGGGAGAGCCCAGGATGTCTGGAGGTGATAAGGAGTTTCTGAAAGAAACTCTCTCTGTGTCGTACACTTCCAAGGACCTGGGCCAGTGGGTTTTCAAACTTATTTTAAAGATCTGAAGGGCGTTTTCCAAAATGAAATTGTATGTAATTCCTGACACCTAAAACACGAGGGGATGGCCTTTGGCTGGTGCCCTGTTTCTGACTGTTGCATTACAAGTTGATCTGGCTCTTCATTTGATTTGTCCACTGCCACATTATATGTATATGTGATGCAGGAGGGAGGCCCTTCTCAGTAAAACCATAAAACATTTCTTCTTCCTGTTCCAGATGTGCTCATTCAGCTATTTAGGAGTCCTGCTGTCATCTACTAATTTCAAGGGACTCCACCTGTTTACTTACCTCATTAGGGGAGAATCAGGAAGTCTGGGAAGCACAGCCTGGCAGGGTGGACCAGGTGCACTGCAGAAATTTAATGGGACTGCTTCCATTATGCTTTTAAAACAGGAAGGAGCAGATTTCCCTTCTGGTGGCTCTCAGGGTCATTGCTCAGGAAGGAAGCAACCTTTTCTGAGTGCGGTTTGTAAGCCAAGTGATACCACTGCATTTCATTCAAACCCTCACTGGAATCTTGTGGAGTAGTTATTCTGATCTCCATTTTGCAGATGAGTACACTGAGTCTTAGAAAGGCTGGTTAGTGAAGCCAGGCTCACACAGCAAATGGCAGCAGAGCTCATGTTTAGACTCGGGGCTTTACACTTCAGAGCTGTGTCCTGTCCATTACTTTTTTGTCGGTTTCAAAGGGCAATGTTATTCTGCATCTCCACATTTCCATGAAGTTTGATGCTTTTTGTCTTGCATTCCATGGTAAAAGAGGAATATAGGAAACTCTGTTACCTATCACCTTTTACTGGCATTTGTTCCATTACACTTCCTAAGGGCCATCCTGTGTTCTACCCCTCCCATTTTATAGACACCAGTGCAGACGAGGTGGTTTGGGGTCTTTTCAAAGTTTAATGACAAGACTATAGCTAAAGTCCAGACCTCTTCCTGTCCTTCCCATCACCTACACTGTGATAATCACACAATGTACTGGGAAAACCATTTTCATGTGGAAGAAGAGATACATCCCAAGGTCACTCTATTTGCAGCTCTGAAAGGAGCCATTTTCTCTCAAACCTCTGTACAGGATGCTGGGGTGAAAAACACAAGATCAAGGTGGTCGGCATTTCAGCAGACACTCACATTCATCTCATGGATTTTTAAAAATAGTTTTTTTATAGATTGCAATTGCAGCAAATGTGTTTGCCCTTTTTCTTAACACAAGATATTTCATCTGATTTCGCTCAATAGATCCAACCGGGTGTAAGTAGGAAGGATATGATTTTCCTCTACAGGAACCTTTTTCTGTGTGTATTTTTGGAATAGTTTTTTATTCTGATTCATGTCTACACCTTCTAGTAGCTTCTTGACTTAGCCAGAGTTTATTTCTTTTGATATGATATTGAGTAGGATTCTTTTAAATCTTCATCTCTATATCATAGCTGGTAACAGGAATATGAGAATAGGGGACTGGATAAATCCAATTTGCTTATGTATTTTTGCAGAATACCTTGCTTTTGTTAACAGCATCTTCTGCACTGATATTTGGGTTTTTTTTTTTTTTAAGAGAACATATTTAGCATTTTCACCAAA